TATGCATATATTATATTTTCAAAATCTTAAAAAATTCTGAATTCTGAAACATATATACCCCCAGGGTTTTTAGATGATGGAATATGGACCTATATACACTGCAACAATGTCCTTGATATCTTTATTTTTTAGGATAAATTTATATAACATACAACGTATCTTTAAATCATATTTTCCAGGTTTGAATCCTAATCCTAGTTCTGTTATTTATTAGCTGCAGCTACTTGAATTTCTCAGCAGTAAAATAGGAGTGATAACAGCTGGACTTATTCTGAGTATTAATTTAGTGAAGTAACACACGCAAAATATTTAGAACAGTCTGGTAATTAATAAGCATTTAATACATGTCAGTATAATTGCAACACCAGAGCATACCAATTTATATTTCTGACAACAGAGCACCCATCTCTAGGCTCTTGCCTATACTTGGGGGTCATTCTTTATAATCTTGTCTAATGTGATAGTCCCTGTCCCCAAAAATATCCCATTGTTTTGCTTGCATTTGATTGTAGCAGTACTGAAAACACTTTCTTACTTTAACTATTTGCACTCTCATACTTAACTTTCTTATTATTTTTCTAATTTTTTGTGTCATAATTGTTTAAAGATCTTCCCTCTCAACATATTAAAATATTTACATTTACCTATATTTTTGCTAGTATTTACAAGTTTCTTCCCTTCCTTCCTTCGTTTCTTCCTTCTTTTCTTTCCTTCCTTCCGTTTAAGAAGTTAATCCTTTTTAGGATTCTTTTTTGATGTATGGTTTCTTTGAAGGGAGAGGGGAAGATGGCTTGGTTCTTAGTAATGGTACCACTGTGGGGAAGAACAAAAGGCGCGATGGGCATATCAGATCCCTTTGGGGGAGTTGGCCCAAGCTGCCCCACTCCCTTACCCCTCCCCACTCTGGGCACTTGGAGGTGGGGGCAGGGGGCAGGAAGAAGCAGGTGTGGTTAATAAAGCTACCTAGTTGACAAAAGGCACCGGCAGGTTGTATCGTGGGCCTGTGGCAGGTAGGGCATGGGCCAGGGGCTCCTTGGTGGCCAGGCGTGGCCGCTACTGCTTTGCCTTCGCTCTCTGGGCCTTGGTTTTGGCCTGGGAGGTGCAGGGCATGGTCACACGGATGGTGCCCAGGTACTGGGCATTGTACTGCACCTTTCTCAGGGTGCCCTACTCCATCACACACACCCCAACCCCCAAACTTCTTCCAGTTTGCAGGGCATCCCTCACGGCCTGCTCGGAATCTGGCTGGCGCAGGTATCCTCATGGAAACTTACACCTCGGCCCTTGCAGCTGCGGGTACAGGGCCCCCAGGGCCATTCGGCACACTCGCTCCATGGGCAGACCTCCTTCACTTTGTCTTTTTGTCCACCACGGAGGTGAGCTCCAACCGGCAGAGGAAGGCGAGGAGGAGGAAGCCTCAATTCTGTGTCTTGTTCGCTGGCCTGCTCTGCTCCTTTACCGCCACCCTGGGCCTGCACTGCTAGCCAGTTGGCCCGATATCAGCTACTGAATAATCCATGGTTTTCACCACTGACTGAGAACAACTATTTTTATCATATCCAAATTTTTTTTTCCAGACATCATATAATATTCCTTTAACCTGTTCATTCCTTTTGCCCACACTGTATTGTTTATATTTCTGGTGTAGGTCAAATATTCCCTATTTTTATTTTTCAGAATTTTCTTAGATAATCATACATATTTATTCTTCTGAATAAGAATCAGAATTATTTTGAAAGATTTTCAACAAACCTGCATTGGATTTTGATTGGGATTAATGTGGAGGAAATGGATGTACTTCAATATTGAGTTTTCCCATTTATTTACCCATAGACATGAAACATGTCCCGATTTCTTCTTAAAGTGTCATACATTTTTAAATCCTTGCTAATAACTGTAGTTGATTAACAAGTTCTGATACATGTGTGCCCTTTTAGTTTATAGTAAACTAGAAACTAAGTTAATCAATATGTGAATTCCTTTATTGGTACAAGGTAGTTGTTAGGGACTGAATGTTTGTGTTAGCCTCCAAAGTCATGTGCTGAAGTCCTAACTCCCAGTGTGATGGGATTTGCAGGTGGAGCTTTTAGGAGGTAATTAGGGTTGGATGGGTTCATCAAAGTGGGCCCTCCTGATGGGCTTAGTGCTCTTATAAGGAGAGGCACCAGAGTTTCCCCCCTTCCCCCAGAGGAAGTCCTGTGAGCTACATACAGCAAGAGAGTGACTGCCACCCAAGGTGAGTCCTTGCCAGAAACTGATGGTGCTGGCTCCTTGACCTCAGACCTGCCTCTAGAACTGTGAGAAAATAAATATCTGTTGTTTAACCCACTCAGTCATTGATGTTTTGCTATGGCAGCCTGAAAAGGCTACTTAAGTAGTATGTATACTAGTCTTGCCCAGACTCTGGGTTATTCTCAGCTTCCCAAGTTCATCACAGGCCAAGGAAGTAGAATTGAAACACCTAATGTGGTGACTGAAAGGGCTATTTTGTGATGACTATTTATTTTGCTGAATTGCTTTGCATCATCAATTCTGGAAAATGGAACTTTCTGAAACACTTTATTCCCTCACTCAAAATGAAAATAAATTTTCAGTTCTACAGATAAATTGTATATTTCTAGAAACACTGGATTCTCTATTTTACTGCATAGAATAATGCCAATGAGAAAATTACCATTGATGTTTAGTGAACACAATATTAACACTTCAGCATATTTGGAAGTAGTAACATTGGAGGCACCCCTTTGGGGGCCCCTTCTGAGTTTGTTAATGCATTCCATTGCAAACTTCTTTCATCCTCAAAACAGATTGAAATGAAGTGTCAGTCTCATTTTATGGATGGTACAAACTGAGATTCAGAGAAATAAAATATCTTTTGGAAGGTAGCATAGAAGTAGGACTAAATTTAATTTATTTCATTCAATTACTGGGTGCCCCCAACGTGGGCCTCTCTTATGTTGGAAGGATCTTCTCTCAGCAACTGGAGTAGCTTCTTGGCTTCCTTATGCCATGCTGTACTTATCTAAGGCAGCTTTTCATGCTCCCAAAGATCCAGCCCACCCCTGGACTCTGAACCTGTGGGCGGATGAGTGGCCGTCTCTCCTAAGGGACAAACCTTTCTCTGTCAGTCTCTACTGAGTAACTACTAGGCCAGCCATTGGAAAAGGCTTTTTTTGATATCTGAGGTGCTTGGTTACAAAGCTCATCTTCAACTCTCCTTTTCCTAAGTCCCCCCACCCACCCAATTATTCTGTTTGGTATATAGTAAAAGGGAGGTTTGACATTTGATCTTAAGTCCAAATGACAGGCAGGCAACATGAAGGCCTCACAAGCCTTGATTTACTCATTGTCTTACTTTATCCTGAATCAAACCTTTCACTAGTGAAATAAAACAATGTCTGCAATTCAGTATAGGATCTGTTGCTTTATGAAGTAGAAAAAGCAAGAACAACGTTGAAATGGTAGGAATTTATGAGTCAGGCACAATTAAAATAATGCCACATTTAACTGGAAAATAGGTGAACTGTAAGTCAAGTTCTTTTTTGAAAAGACAAGTGATATTTAGTCCCAACTTTGTATTAACTGTGTATGGAGAAGATAAATCAGGAGTGAGGTATGCAGTGGTGACTGTCTGTTCTAGGAAAAGTGAGTTTTTAAAATTTTTGTTCTGAAAATTATTTAAATCCCAATGCACAGAAGAGTGCACAATCTCAACAACTTCAAGTTTATCTTTGAATTTAAATCTGGAGGCATCTCTTTTTTATTCTTTATAGAAGTGTTGTCTTTTTCTTTATAGAAGTGTTACCTTTAGATTTATTATGCTCCAGAGGTAAAATATGGATCATATCAAATAAACAGAAAAAGAGTTGGTACTTTCAGCACTTTAGAAATACTAAAGATGTCTTAAATATTTTCATTAGAACTCCACTGGAACCTCTGTGTTAGAGTGGTACAGAATTACTAAATCAGAAGGCCCAGTAACAGTTTTTCTCAGGAGAGATCTTGTGTATAGAACTATTGGCATAGATCTAGCATGTTCTCTGAAGTACTTGGCCCTGGAGCCTCTAAACTCAAGGGGGGAAAAATAATAGAGTATAGAATTATGTGGTATATAGATAGAGGAACATAGGACTAGGTTTCAGGGAACTATGAGTTTTCATTTTGGCTCTGAAATTTTAACCAAATCATCTTTCCAGATTTTAATTTTCTCATCTGTACAAATGGAGATAATAATTCTTGTGTCACAGAATATCTGGAATGATTAAATTAAAAATACTTGATATCATGTGGTAAGAAGTGGAGAAAGAAAGAGAAAAAAATTTATTGAGGCCTCAATATATGCCAGGTTGTAGTTCCAGCTATGGTTCTTAAGAGAGATTAAGGTCTATGATTTAGGTTCATGATTCCACCACACTAAAATTTCAAATCAAATCATTAACAAAAATGCTTTTTATTAAATATAAGCAATCTATATTTCACTTTTAAAGAAACTTCCTTAATTTTAAAATATTTTTAAGGCTTATTATTACTAAATCTCAAAAGAAGAGCAAATCAACAGTAGAAAATAAAAATACTTTCCATAATATTTCCTTCCAAATGTGTATTTTATTGGCAGACTAATAATAATTCATAATAAAAATAATCTGTATAACATTTTACATTTTTTCAAAATACTCTTTAAAGGGGGAGTCCTAAATAAGCTAAATAAGCATAGCATTTAACATTTAACAACAGAAAAGTCTGACACATTGTTATATTTTTCTACTGTTTAAAGATTATTTTATGAAAGGAGAATAAATAATTTCATATATTACTATAAACATATATCACTATAAAATACTTTGGAAATAAAATATCCTCAAACAGAAATTTAATCTAAAAGGTTAACCACTGTATTTGAAAAAAAAAAGGATTAAGTACATTAAAATATGCTAAAAGGACAGTTTTTCCTGAAAATAAAATACAGTAAAATCAAGAAAATAATTAAATACTACAGATTTAAAGTTTCAGTTGTTAAAATTAGAAAACTAAGAACTACATAAAATACTTCTTTTTAGTAACTACATATGTATATTTATATTTACTTTTTAAGAGTAATCTTGTTGAAATATAAATATCATAAAAGTTTAATAAATGTTTCAATAATGTATTTCTATTAAAAACACACATATACATACAAGTATTTAGGAAGAATCCGTATCATCTTCCAGTTGTAGATGACAAAAAAAGTCTGATAAGGTCATAGTCTTTCATTTGACCTTATGTAGAAATAACTTTAAAGTAGTGAGACATATGTTTTTCATCACTTTGAGATATTATTGGGTCAGATTTTATTTTCAGTAGTTTCCATGATTTCTTATTAGAAAGATTAGCTTGTTACAAGAAAAGTAACTTTAAATAAATCTAGTTAGAATATATGTCTTTATAAAAACAAACATCTAAGCAGTAGATATTTTGTTTCTTATATATAGGTAAATTAAAATATTCCAGAACACAATCTGAGCCTTAAAAAGAAGAAAATAGTAATCATCAAGTCAACCTGTACGAATCAAATAGCTAGAGAGTTCTTTTTATTTTTTAACATATATGCCATATGTTTGAAGTACAAGTCCTGTGAAATACATTTTCTACTCCCTAAAATCTTGTTAAATTGAAATTCATACTTTTCATTTACTTACTCATTATTCAATCTACCTAGGGAACTTTGTTATTCAAACCAAAGACATTTTCAATTAAACTAAAAATTACTAGCTTTTCATTTTTTATCTTTAAGTGGTATTTTCTCTTTATATACCTTATATAGTAAAATACATTAGGAAAAGCTATTACTTTTCAGATGTACGTAAATAATTATTTAGATGATAAAGAGTTAACAAAAATTTCAAGGTCTGCTAAAGAATTATGAAGCCCATCATCGATATCTTGACTTCTAAGAAAAATTTTAAGAGTATCTAAAGCAGTTATTGCCTCACTTTTTGATGGTAAAGGGAGTTGGGCCCCTAGAGATCCACCATCATCTTCATCGTCAGAAGTATCAAACGCAGCTTCATCTGATTTACTCTCTGCGGTCCCCCCCGAATCTTCTTCACCTGGTGTCGTTTCGCAGGTCTCCAGATCATCATCCAGGGCAGCATAGCCCTCTATAGATAAACCTTCAGGAAATTCCACTCCGGCTGCCTGGGCATGGGCAACCAAATCAAGACCAGGGTCTGTCTCCGTGTTTGTCTTGTCACTTTCGTCATTTTGAGATTTGAATCCTGCCTCTTCATAGCCCTTAACAATAGTCTCGGGTGTTACAGCTCTCCAGCAGAGGTGCAAAGCATCAACTGCATCTAGCAGGGAAAACGTAAATTCTTTGCTGCCTTCAACAGAACTTAAAAATTTCTTGACAAGACAATGTCGGTATTTTATTTTAAGGCTTTTAATAACACCTTGTTTCATTGCTATAAATTTGGAAGATAAACATGATGGAAAGAATGCTAACTCAATGGACTTCAGGTTCTTTACCTCTGGATGCGCAGGAAAAGAATCAACAAAAATCACCACTCGTCGTTGTTGGGCTTGAAATTTCTCATCAAGCTTCCGCATCCATTGTTCAAATACATCTGAGGTCATCCATGCCATTCTATTAGCTTCATAACATACAGGCAATGATTTTATACCTTTGAAACAATGTGGATTTCTGTTTTTTCCAATGATAAGCAAAGGAAGTTTCTCTGAGCCATCCATGTTGGCGCCGACTACCAGAGTTATTCTGTCTTTGCATAACTTTCCAATTGAGCATGTTTCTCCTTTAAATGCAAATGTATTTGTAGGTAACATTCTATAAAGCAGCCCAGTCTCTTTTATATTAAAAACATTTTTAGCATGATAATCGTTTAAATAATAAGGAAGTACGTTTTGGTGCCAGACAGCTGAAGGGTCTACTGGTGTTGTGGCTTCTACAGGCTGAGCTCTGAATACTAAACCATACCTGGATTTAAAGCGATCCAGCCAACCATTACTGCACTTAAAATCATTATGTCCCAGTTTCTGGGCAAAATCATTAGCTTTTAGACGCAACATTGGACCATTAACTGGTACATTTAGACACTGAGCAATTCGATACCACCTCATTAATGCCTCTTCCAGATCTGTGTAAAAAGCAGTTCTCAGTCTTTTTCTCTTTGGGTCAAATCTCAGAGATTCAAAGGCTTCTAGAACTTTGTCTTTATTTTTCATAATAGAAGACAATGAATTTTTCTTTATTCCATATTCAGCTGCAATCTCTGCTTTTTTCTTGCCACTTTCTACTGCATTTATGATGTCGATCTTTTCTTCAATGGATAGACTTTTCTTTTTCTTCACTGTTACAGGCGGAGTTGAGGCATCCACAGATGCTTCTGCCATCTCAACCAATGCTTACGTAGATATTTTGCCTCTTTCTGGTCTCCGTTTCTTTAATCAAATTTCTCTTTCAGCATGATACAACATTGCTGTTTTCTATCTCCATATATTAAAACTTGGTAAGTGTCTAATAGTCTTGTTCCTAAGAAAGTTTATGAGTAAATATACTTTTTCAAAGGTCACGAATAAAAAAAAATGTTATATGGCCAGAATATTTTAGAAAAGAAACTTCCTTCCCAGGACCTTGGGTAGCTCAGTTTATGGTTTATTCAGAGTTCCAGAAGTCAAGCTAAAATAGAAATCTCATTATGTCAAACCTGTTCAGTCCTGCTGATGTATTTTTGGAATTTCAATCCTTTAAGATGATCCATTTTATCCATGTGCTCATTCGACCTCCTATTAATTCTCCACAGAAGGCCTCAGAGATAAGAAGAAAAAGCATTCAGTAATTTTCATGCAAATTGTTACCCTCTAATTTCCAAATCTCCTCAAGGTGAAGAAGAAATGGTAGAATTATTCTAGGTCTTGATGGTATATCTTCTTTCTCTTGAAAATATATATTTAAAAAAGGCAATTTCAGCAATATGTCAATTGAATATCAAAAAGAATATTTATGTTAATTAATAAAGCTTTTAATAATAATGAAAATAATGGGAACATGTTTCTGAAAATACAATAACCAAACCTCCCAGAAGAAATGCTTACCTCTTAGATGGCCTCTCTGTAAAAAGCTCTCTAGCTCTGCTGTGCGCATTTGAATTCTCAATTGCCTTTAAATGCTTTGTAATATATACTTCTGAAATAAATCAGACAAATTTAATCTGTTTTGAAAATGTGGCGTTACCAAAATTACAGAACTAAAAATGATGCTGGATAGATTGTTGGTGGCTATTTTTTACACGAAGTCACAGGCTGTCCCTTTTGACCTCTCTAAAAGAAAAACATAGACAGTAGTCACAAGGTTCAACTTTTAATAGCACATAAGAGACAGCGTCTCCTTTATAAGAGTCTGGCAGAAAACGCTTCATTAAAAATCAGATTAAGTGATTCCACTACAAAGTTTAAAAATCTAAATCTTATTCTATCTAAACGTTTACAAACCTAGTAACTTTTGTATCAATTTGACACATTAGTAAGATTCACAGAGGCCAGAAATACTTGACCAAATGCATAGCTATAAAAAATTTATTAAGAGGATATAATGCAGAAAAAGACCCAGACTAAGAGTACAAAGGACAGTGACCACAGGTCTTAGCCTCTTAGGACCTTCACTTCCTTATCTGTAAAATAAAGGGCTTATCATAGGGTAAAAATGTGGGCTTTGGCGCCAGACACACCGGAATTGACAAGTGACTCTGCCATTTAGTACGTATATGATCCTGGGTAGTTCACTTAACCACTGGACGCCTCAGCTTCTGTATCTGTAAAACTGGGGTAACTACAGCACTTTGCTCATAGGGTTATTTATTGCACGTTCAGTGAGATTCAGTGAAAGAATGTCAAGCACTTAGCACAGTATTAGCACCCTACAAAGTGTTCAATAAATGTTTGGTAATGATCCCCTCATTATTGTCTTCTTTCTAATGTCTCTTTGACCATGTCAATCTATAAAGTTCAGAGATTTTTATGAAATCGTACTTGCAAACAGAAGCAAGAATCTCACCTTAAATATGTACTGAAAGCAGACCTTTTCTTCAGGCAAACAGTACTGTGAGAACAGTCACAAGGCCCCTGATGCACTCAACCCTACCTTCACAGGTAGTAACTCCCTTCCCAGAACCTACCGGCTTTGGGCTGACTGCAGGCCAAGGTAACAAGCTAATTTTTATGGCTAGATATTACTGCTGGCTGAGACAGTGTAGCCACTCCATCCCTCTTGTTCTCTGTTTTCCCAGGTTTCAAGATGTCACATGCATTGTTTTGCACAAAATTATTTGACAAAACTTTTTGTCAAAATTCCTCTGCCTTTATTGTTCAAATCAAATAAGTAATTTTTATCATAGGAATTACAACCAGTAAAGGAATCTTTGGTGTTTGTTGTTGTTGTTGTTGTTATTGAAAAAATCTTAATAATTAAAATAGCCCAGCGCTTTAGTTTCTAAACTGCTTTACTTCCTGTATTCCAAACAATTCAGGAGGAAAGTAAAAGTGAATTTCAAAGCTCAGGCAGCTTATAAGTGGTTGGGTGTAGTCCAGAATCCAAGCTTTCTAATGTTGTCTACCCTTCTTTTCGCTTTATCACAGTGCCCTTGAGTCACACTGGTGTGGCCTCCTGTGATAACACTTACACATTCTATGCCACCAGCAGCATTTTCAATGCCTATCCAAACCTAACCCCCACAAAAAGCAAAATCAGGCCTCCATAGAAAAATAGGCCATTATGAATTCTGTGAACACAAAAGAGCAACCATATCCAACCATTAGAGAGGGTTAACCTTTCTAAGTAAATAAAATTTCACCATTCAACTAAAAAAATCTTGCTCATACATGGCACTGCTCAGTACATTTCTGCACTTTTCTGTATATCTACAATTATTTCAAACAAAATATTTAAAAATACCTTGCTCTTACTAGGAAGATTCCAACCTTCAGAACCTGAGGTAGAAAGAACCAATTTTTTAAGAAATAACAAAAGCAAGCAAACTTACTCCCCAAAAGGAAAAGGAAACCTGCCCTTTTTTTTCTTTCATCCTTTCCTTTCTTCTTCTCTTCTTTTTCTCTCCTGCTTTATTTGTTAGAAACAAACCCTATCATCTCAAATAACAGGGATTATAGAAAAAGTATATCCTTGAGTTTCCTCCTTTATCCAATCCCAAATAAAGCGATATAATATACATGTCCAGAGATTACTGATTATCTTGATCAAATTGAAAATAGTGATATGTTTATCTCAGAATATACACATTTTTTTCCTGAGAATTAACAGTATATATTTCCTCCTAAAACAGTAGTTAAATCTACAATTTTATATGGTAAGATACAACATAAGTTATTCCTCAGACAACCACATTTCTAATGCCAAACCAAGCAAACTAGACTTTTTCCCTAGATAAGAGTAAGGCACCAAAACTAACTCATCAACGAAGCCAACATTTTTCATTCTCCCATAGCATAACATCTGAGATTTTTTTTAAGGGAATAATGGCATATTTCTCATTCTCTAAATTAAGCTCATTTATCATTCTACCCTTTAATAAGAGGTGTGTGCAAACCTCTCCACAGCCCGCTGGCGGATGGGCCCTAAGCCTCAGAGCTGGGGTCCCACAGAGAAGACTCTGAGGCTGTCTCTGTCCCAGCGCTTTAGTTTCTAAACTGCTTTACTTCCTGTATTCCAAACAATTCAGGAGAAAGGTAAAAGTGAATTTCAAAGCTCATGCAGCTATAAGTGGTTGGGTGTAGTCCGGAACCCAAGCTTTCTAATGTTGTCTACCCTTCTTTTTGCTATATCACAGTGTCCTTGAGTCACACTGGTGTGGCCTCCTGTGATAACAGTTACTCATTATATGCCACCAGTAGAAATACTGTAGTTACATGTTAGGTACTATTTCTCTGTGTCAACAATAAACCTAATTCCATTTGTCAGAAATAAGCCCTAAAGAATCCACCTACACTGTTGGTGGGAATACAAATTGGTGCAACCATTGTGGAAAGCAGTGTGGAGGTTCCTCAAAAAACTGAAAACAGAAATAGTATTTGACCAAGTAATTCCACTCCTAGGAATTTACCCAAAAAAAACAAGATCCCTGATTCGAAAGACATATGCACCCTATGTTTACCATTGCACTATTTGCAACCAAGATATGGAAGCACCTAAGTGTTCATCAATAGATGAATGGATATAGAAGATGTGGTACATGGATATTATTGTGTATATGGATATTATTCAGCCATAAAAAGAAAAGTCCTCCCATTTGCAACAACATGGATGGATTTAGAAGGTATTATGTTCAGTGAAATAAGCCGGATGGAGAAAGACAAATACCAAATGATTTTATTTATGTGTGGAGTATAAAAACAAAGCAAAACAGAAGGAACAAAACAGCAGTAGACTCATAGACACCGAGAAGGGACTAGTGATTACTTGGGGGCGGGAGGGGAAAGGGGATAAAGTGGCTCAATAATTTGCAATCATATTATAAGTTGGTCACAGGGATGGTAGTACAGCATGGAAAACACAGTTAATGACTCTTTAACATCTTACTACATTAATAGATAGTGACCGCACTACAGAGGGTGAGGATTTAATAATATGGGTAACTGCTGAACCACTGTGTTGTACATTTGAAACCAACAGAAGATCATGTATCAATGATACTTTAATTTAAAAAAAATGAAACCCTAAAGAATAAGAAATAGACTTACCAGTTGAACTCCAAATAAAGAAAACAATGGTCAATCCTTCTGATAGGAATAGAAATGTAAATCTTCTTTCAAAACAGGAGATATGGTTTCTTTTCTTGTTTTTACCTATCAGAATGGCAGTATCTAGTGTCTGCCAGGATGTGGTAACATAGGTTGTTAGGAAGCACATAAATTGATACAAAGCCTAAAAAAGCAAATTAGCAATATGAGACAAAAACCTGAAAAATGTGCATAGCTTTTATCCAGCAAATCCTTACCTAGGATTTTTACCCCCAAAGAATAATTATAGATGTAAAAATAATGTAGCTTACAAATGTATTCTTTTTTCATTGCTTCATTTGGTGGCTTAAATCTGAACCCATTTATGATCTTACAGTTCTATAGGTCAGAAGTCCAGGTGGGCTCAACTGGGCCCTCTGCTTAGGGTCTGACAAGGCACAAATCAAGATGTTAGTCAGACTGGGCTCTTCTCTGGAGGCTCTGGAGAAGAATATGCTTCCAAGCTCATTCAGGTTATTCTCTCTCAGAATTCAACTCCTTGTGCTTATAGGACTGAGGTCCCTGATTTTTTTTTTGTTGGTTGTTAGCAGAAACTCCAACAGCTCCAGCTCCTAGAGCCCTTCCTTGGGTCCTCAACAGTGGCCCACTTTATTTCAGCAACAAAGAACCTTCTTCATGCCAAATCTCTCTCACACTTTGAATATCTCTGACCTCTCTGCTGTCACCAGACGGGAATCTCTGATCTTAAAAGCCTCGTGTAATCAGTTTAGGTTCACCCAGATTATCTCCCCTTTGATTAACTTGAAGTCAACAGGTGAGTGACTTTAATTACATCTGTAAAATCTGCTTGGCATGTAATGTAACATAGTCATGGGAATGAGATCCTATCATGTTCAGTGGGGAGGGAATTATACTTAGAATTGGAATTTATCTTAGAATTCTACTACACAAGAATATCCCTCAGGTTGTTTTATAATTACAGACAGAACTGCAACTAATCGGAATGTGTAACAAAAAGGATTATGTAAATAACTAAGGAATATATATGCTAAAATACAACTGAGACTCTCAAGGAGAATATTTAATGATATGAGGAAAATTCTGTAATATTTTAAGTGAAAAAAGCAAAGCCCAAAACTGTATGACAACAAATACAACATATACTGAAAGTTACAGGAGAGCAGAGGCTCATGGCTATTCCTACAGATCTCAGTGCCCAGCAAACAGTAGGTTCCCCAAAACAATGGGGTAAATAAATGAAGAAAATATATGCACAGAAAAAAAAGACACTGACCAAAATGATGAATGTTAATGCCAGGTAATGAAATTATGGAAAAGTTTAGTTTTTGGTTCCATGTGGTTAAAACAATTTCTACTCTTACGTTCTACTCATTCTACTATTCATGGGCTTCTTAAATGCCCCATTAATCAGTATCCTCTAATGAAGGGTTTGTTTCTAGAGTTACACTATGGAATCAGTAACTAATCCATGAAAAGGGAGTAACATCCTCCATGAAAAGGGAGCTATTGATAAAGAATGAGGAAATTATTGCGACATTACCAGAATTCCCCTAGAAAACATCAGAAGGTAACACCTTTTTCTCTTGAGGAAATAATATTGATAAACAGTATACAGCATTCAACATCTAAAGCAAAGAGAAAAGATTGCCTGCACATTTAATTCAGCCAGAAAGGAATAATAACAATATCCTTTAACCTGTTGCTTCCTTTACTTCCTGGTCAATAAATGAAAGATAGGCTGCCAGAGTTCTCACAAGCCAAGTGGATAAATGGTACCCGATTTTCCAAAAGCTGAATAATATCCAATAGCAGTACAAAGGTAACTCAGTAAATAATCTCCCTGTCATAATTATATATGGCAGGCAACTATTTCCTTTTTTCTTACCTTTCCAAGTACAGATGCCAACTAAAAAGTAATCTTTATCCTTCCTAAAGAGAATGAGCAGGCCGACTTCCCCAAGCTCTGGGGCAAAGACAAAAAGAAAGGAAAAGAAGAAGAAAGGAAGGGGAGAGGGGGAGAGGGAAGGAAGAAAGAGGGAAAAATATCTCCATCTAAGCAGAGTTAGATTTCAAGTAAGACATTTCAGTTAGTATGAAACACTTTCCCGCATCCAAAGAATACTGGCTACTGCTTCCTTTTTCCCAAAGAAAGGACATAGAATTTCACTGTTTCCCATCAACAGCTGAAGTGGATTCCAATGTTTTCTTTGAGCCAACCTACATTCTAATTTCCCTTAGAGAAGCAGAAATCATGGGAAGATTAATCTTGCATATAGCCTTGCACAGCACAACAGTGTGTATGAGGACTAATCATGCACAGTACAAAAACCTAACATTCATTAAATGCACCTTCAACAAGCAGAAGTTAGCATTAGTGCAAAGTGGCTCCAAATCCATCAGAATCTCTATCAAAACCAGTAGCTGCCAAGGACACTATCCAGCTAAGGACAAATAATTAAAGTAAGTGTCCACCTTTCTAATAAAAGAAACACCTCTGCATCTGACAGTTTAATAGTTGAACAAACTTTAATGAAGCTAAAGTTCTCCAAACTCAAGAGACAGCTAGCAGGAATACTTAAAGCCTCAGCCGTCTCAGTTAAATACACATCATGCAAGCAACACTGAGAACTGCCATGCACCTCTTCCTTGTCACCCTCCTGAAACTCTAACACTTTTACTTAGCTACTAAGGTCCTTTCTGTTCCTATACAATAAGATCAGTAATTTTTCTAGATTGAGATCCTTTCCTTATAATTGAGAAGACTAACATGAACAGAAAAATCCACAGCAAACTACAGAACTGAAGTTACAGTTTGAGTGAATTGGCACATATATTTGCTCTTTTCTTTTGTTCAGGACAGAGCCATTTAAGATAAGGGCCCTTTATTTTTTGACATTTTAAAAATTATGGGTATCATTAATGTACAATCGCATAAGCAACATTGTGGTTACTAGATTCCCCCCATTATCAAGTCCCCACCACATACCCCATTAGTCACTATCCATCTGCATAGTAAGATGCTGTAGAGTCACTATTTGTCTTCTCTGTGCTACACTGCCTTTCCCATGCCCCCCCCTACATTACATGTGCTAATCATAATGCCCCTTAATACCCTATCCTTCCCTTCCCACCCATCCTGCCCAGTCCTTTTCCCTTTGGTGACTGTTAGTCCATTCTTGGGTTCTGTGAGTCTGCTGCTGTTTTGTTCCTTCAGTTTTTGCTTTGTTGCTAACCTCCACAGATAAGTGAAATCATTTGGTACTTGTCTTTCTCCACCTGGCCTATTTCACTGAGCATAATACCCTCTAGCTCCATCCATGTTGTTGCAAATGGTAGGATTTGTTTTCTTGTGGCTGAATAATATTCTATTGTGTATATGTACCATGTTTTCTTAAGGGCCCTTTATACACAGATTTATGTTATGGGATTTCAGTACTGTTTTTGTCAGAGGAGATGTTATGGAGAGCTCAGGCAATAAATATTGTTATTTACTTTTGAAACATTTGTGTTGTCATGGGTTTTTATTATTCTGGGATATGGAGACGGTATTTGTACAGGGATATACCATTCACTATACTGAAACAGCCTAAAAATTTGTAGAGGCAAGAGTTCTGCCTTTAGGCACATAGTTATTAAAAATGTCTTGTCAACTTATATGACAAGTAAAAGCGTGTGAGAAGTAGGATCTAAAGAAACGTAAATCCCACGAGGTGCACTGTTACCCTTCTCATTTCTACAAGAGAAATGGAGGTAAAAATGAGCATCCAAGACTGTCAAAGGAAAAGCAGTCTAAAACCTTGAAGGGAGATGTGTGTGGATGGAGCAACTGTACATAGTGTATGTAAATGAGCTTCGGGGATGTCAAGCACCACTGGAGTCCTAACGTTCCTTCCATTCAGTGCTGGGGATAGGGAGAGTATCCAAAGTACAGGTTGGGGCCTCAGCTTAGGAAACTACAAGGGCTCTGAGATAAGAAGTTGTTCAGCGATTTCTGTAGACAGGGCAGCAATCTACTTAGGAAGTAACGGGGCAAGCAGGAAAGCATAAATTAGTCATCTGGATAAAGAAAGAGGCGCAGGAAATAAAAGTAATAAGGATCAACTGTGAGCCGAGCAGAAAGTAGTGACAACGAGCAAGAACTCAGGGCTGCCGGGCGTGGGAATCTGGTCTTCCTGAAGCGGGTGGGCGTGAGTGACTGTACAGACCCGGAGTGGGGGCTCAGCAGGCTGTGGGAAAGCGAGGGTGAGGCCCTCGCATCCCATCTACTCCTTTACCCC